TGGAGCATCCTAGGATGATTTTCGCTGCTTTCATCTGCGCCGCCTCGAGTTCTTTCACTACCTTCTTATTTCCTTCCCATACTTCTCCGGCGTACTCTAGCGGCGGTACGATTACGCTCTTCAAAACCGTCAATTTGATGCGTGTATCGAGGTGCCGGTTTGCGAGTATTGGATCCAGCTTCCCTGCTCGTGCTTTGCCCTTTTCCGCTACCTTAGACATTTGTGGATTCCACGAGCAGTCTTTTGCGATCTCTATTCCGAGGTATGTGACTACTGCTCCACTACTACGATCTCCTCGATCTCCCACTTCCATCTATATTCTGCTGGTTCCTCCCTGTCCTCGTTGAATACCATGACGGCACTCTTCTTAACGTTGGCAGACAATCTCCACTTGTCAGTAAACTTCTTCGCTGCGTCAATTTGCAGTTGCAGTCCCTCAGGGATGTCCGACATGCCATGTAGAATGGCTGTGTGTTGCTTCGCTTGTCCGAGATGTTGAGTCTTCCATATTCGGTTTAACCCGTAGGAACATCCACAGCCGCTGTATCGTGATCACTGTTGGGTCATCCGGGAAGGGGACTGAGTTGGCGTTCGTCCCATCTACTCTGGCGCCAGTCTACCCACCGTCCAACGCGTAGGCTTGACAAAGTAGCCGGGGGACTGGGGGGTACGAAAATGGGAACGGGCAATCAGTGCATGCCGACCGTCGCAGTGCTCGAGGAGACACTTGCTGACTCTTGGTGACCCCAGGAGAGTCTGTCGATGTGAGGGAGCGAACGAGAATAACACCACGGGAAACCTGGGTCCCCAGAACTGCGGCCGGCATCAGCAAGAGACCTCATGACACGAGAATCTCCGGTACCGCACAAGTATCCAAAGACGGGGCACGCGTGGAAACGTGTAGAAGATATCCTCACTGCACCAATCGACTTGCACCCACCCGGGAGGTTTTGCTTGGTACTCACTCCGCGACAAACGAACACCCGCCCATCCGGTGAAGCGCACTCGTCGTTGCGCTTGTTTGCCACAACCATGACCACGTAAGCAGCTAGCCACACTGCGGCATTTCACCTCTTTTCCTGGTTTCGAGCAGGCAAACAAATGTTCCACAACTTTGTGCTGAATCGATGCTCAAGCACCTCGCCGGTCCATTTCTGTACAAAGCCCTCTTGATTCCTAATTGACATTTTCTTGACGCATTACCTTCCACGTCCAGCGAGGGACTTTCACGACCACAAACAAGGATTCCGAGGGTTGTTGCGCCTCCAAAGCGCGTTAAACGGCCTCCAAAATCAATCACTCGACGGACACACCTCCCGCATGTACAAAAAAAATACATGAGAACAAAACAACAGCTGTGCCCAAACGCCGGCAAGTGACCTCTGCAAGACACTACAAGATGCTGCGCTTTCGCCCAACGCCAGCGGTGACGCAACCACGTCCATCAAAAACAGGAAACACAAACACCTGTCCGAGCGTCAGATCACAGATGAAACTGATACAATCAAACCTGGCTATGCATACATCTAGAGTCTCTCCAAAATCACCGATTCCTGTTTCGAGGTGAGCCCTGCTTCGTGCAACGTCGTGCCTGCCGATGCATCATCTCTTGTCAAAACCCTCCTTGGGAACGGCATGACCAGCCTGTACTGACCCGGGACGCCGCCTTGGGCTTCACAAAAATCTAACAACACCTCCAAGGAGTCTGCGAAACGGAAGCGCCTCGTGAACTTCCCCTCGGTAGTCCTTAGCTGGCAGGTGAACACGCCTTCTTCGTCGCTAGGCGGCTCCTCCGGGAGTTGCTGGAACTTGGCCAGGCGGTGCTTCTCGAGGTTGAAGGCGCGTTTCTTCGGGCCTCCGGCTGTCGATCGCTCGTCATCGGAGTCGAGGTCTGAATCGTCATCGCTCTCGCTGTCATCCATCGGGGAAAGCCCGGTTATGCTGGTGTCTCTGCCACCTGCCGGTACCGATGAACCCTTGCCCCCCACGACACATCCTCCTCCAGATGGGAGCGGGGACAAGCTCTGCGTCGGGGAAGCGCCGCGGGATGAGGTCGTTGCGGCGTTCATGTGCGCGCGCAAGGTCTTCGCTCGGTCTTGCGCACCCTTTTCCTGGAGCTGTTCTCTCGCCTTTTCCGGCAAGTCTAGCTCTATCTCCATGTCCGTGTCGATCACGGTTACCTGAGGCTCAGGGCGCAGCTCAACCACCTGCGTTGTTCCGGAGCGGTTCGCGTTCGGGGGTGAGCGGGGAATGGGAGTATTTTTTTCTCTCTTCTATCACTACCGAGCGCCTACAGTGAGAGCGGGAGGTAAATATCGTCCGCGCCGTCGGTTGCGAAGCCTCGAATTTCCGCCGGTTTTACAGAGTTTTCTCGCGACCCTATCCCCCTGAAAACAAATGAAGTACACATTCAGTGTTGTTCACATCTCTGCATACGGATGCGATTGAATTGCAGCTAGTAGGGTCCATGTTTCACCAAGCCTCGAAGCATCACAACGGCTTCGTTCAGACCGTGCGCCAAAATGTCTTAGTCAGCATACACGGTAATACGCCGTGCGCGCAAGTTGCACGTGTGTCGCGTCATCGGACACAACGCTGCCGAGATGTCTAGACACAGAATAAAAACTTCAACGCATGCCATTGAGGGAAATAGAAGCGAAACGCAGCGAAGCGTTCCGGAACGAAACACCCCTGTCACTCCAACCAGACCATTCAAATCACAACCCACTTTGCGGACGGCACGTCTTGCTGACAGTAGCGCAAATAACCATCTGGATGCTCGGCAGCATCCGTAACCAAACATGAAACACCCCACCACCATATTGATGCTGATTTCCTGGTACAGTCGAGGGACCCTTTTAGTGCCGGTTGAATAGTGCCAGATGCCCGGTATAGTGCCGGTAAAATCTCTGCACACAGGCGGAGCTCTCAATAGTGCCCTACCGGCACTAATTAAAGCATGCCCGATATAGTGCCGGTTCGGCACTGCTGTCACCCCCAATAGTGCCGGTACTCCGCACGCGCGAAACACACACACGCACAACCCAGGGCAGAAAACATAGACTCCACACACAGAAATAGGGTACACGTGCTGCTGCAGACCCGAACAGCTCTACACAGGGGCGTACCATGCCCTGTGCGGAAGGTGAACTGTGCCAACTACAGGACACCACGCCGCAAGACCCTCATGGTCACGGCTGCCAGGGAGGATGTGGCGGGCGACTGCACGGCATTTGCGGCAGTGTGGTTGATGTAGGCAACGAGAATCACCGCATCTGCAGCGCGTGCGTCGCCAAAGCCGGCAAGCGCAAAGTGTCAGCAGCAGACAGCACTGGGAAGGCACAATCTAAACGTCCGAAGGCCACGAATGGGGGGAGTAACAAGTCTCAGCCTCGTGCGCGGCCAGATTTCAGCGCCAAGTGTGAGATGCTGAAGCTGATGGATCAGAAGGTGACTCATGAGCAGCTAGCAGATCGCTTCAAGTGCTCGGAACGGTTGGTCCGGGATGTGAAGAAGA